AGGGGGGACAGGCGAGAGGGTGACAAGTGTGTCAGCGCCGGGAAGGCCAGGTGTGCCGGCACGGGGGACACGATGGGGACAGCCGGGAGAGCGTGCCCGTGGGGGTGACGGGGGGTGGTGGTGTGCGTGACACACGGAGAGCATCGGTGTGGGTGACAGGGTCGGTGCGGGTGATGGGTGGGGGACAGTGTCAGTGCGAGTGACAAAGAGGGGCGGGAGCAGCAGCACGGCCACAGCGGGTGACGGGGGGTTGTCTGACCCCGGGTGCTCCCCAGCGGGTGACAGCGGCCACCGGCGGGGCGCCGGCCGGGGGCCGAGGACCGGGCGGGGCCCCCCCCCCCCCGTGACAGCCCCACGCTGCGGCGACACCCGCGGTCACAGCGCGGGGCGGGAGGGACCAGCCCTTCTGCAGCCCGGCGGCTCCTGCCTAAGCCAAAACCCGCTCCCCCACCCCCCGGAGGCCCGGCGGCCCCCCACCCTGGCAGCCCCAGGCGCCCCAGGGCCCCGGCAGCTCTGGGTGGGCTGGGGGTGACGGGGGACCCAGGCAGGTCCGGGGGGTGGCCGTCCCCACCGTCACCCCCTGCGGGTGTTGTCCCAGCTGGGTGTTCCTCCACGAGAAAGCCTACCAGGTGCGGGACACCGTCATCGAGTCCTCGGTGGTGACCAAGGTCAAGGGCATCGGGCGCTATGCCGGCCGGGTGCTGGACACGGCCGACTACGTCACCCCGCACCAGGTGAGGGGCGGCGGGGTCCCTCCCCTGCCGCGGTTTCCCCTCCGGGACGGAGCCAGGGGCGGTCAGGGTGACGGCAACGTCCCCCCCAGGGCACCTCGGTGTTCGTGGTGGTCACCAAGCAGATCCTGACGGAGAACCAGGCGCAGGGCGTCTGCCCCGAGGTACGGGGCTGGGGGTGGCGGCGGGGCGTCCCCGTGCCCCCCGCCCGGGCTGACCCCCGCTCCCCGCAGAGCGAGGCCGAGTACCGCTGCACGGCCGACCGCGACTGCCGGGGGAAGAGCCCCGCCACGGGCAGCGGGGAAGGGGACCCCCGCCCCGGGG